GAAGAATAAAACACTGTTTGGCCAATAGAGGCAGGAAGATAGGTGGGACTAGGAGACAAGGAGAATTCTGGGAAAGGCAGGCAGAGAGAGATCGAGAAGAGACATCATGTAGCCGAGGAAGGAGTAGCAGGTCCACACCCTGATAATCCAAGACCACGTGGAAATATGTAGATGTATAGACATGGCTAATAATTAAGACAGAGTTAGCCAATAAGAAGACCTAGCCATTGACCAACAATTTAATAATTAATACAAATCTTTGTGTGCTTATTTGGGGCTGAAGCGGCAGTGGGACCTGGCAGAACAAGAAACTCCAGAAACTGGAGCGCCTATCCACACACAAATAATTGTTATTAAATAAGATATAGGGAAAATAAAATTTTAGCTACTTTGAGTCCAGCTCACCCCAGTCTGACTGCCAAGAAAACCATAGGAAGGGCTGGGGAGATGGGTCAGCAGTTAACAGCACTTCCTGCGTCTTACAGAGGACCAGGGTTTGGTTCCCAACACCCACGTGGCAGCTCACAGTCGTCACAATTCCAGGGCATCCGATGCCTTTCTCTGGCTTCCATGGGAGCCAGGCACACACGTGGTACAGACACACACACCTAAAACAAAAACTAATAGATTTTTGTAAAGAAAAGTACAGCACTTAGAAGGCAGAGGCAGGGGCAAGGGCTCACTGTGAGTCCAAGGCTCAGCTACACGGTGACAGCCTGTCTCAAAAACAAACAGAAACACGAGGGAAAGAACGCGTTTGCGGCGATAAGTGCTCACACGCCGCTGAGGGTTGTGTCCTTAGTCCAGCCACTGTAAGAATAGGCGTGCAGGCTCCCGAAAGACCAGACGAAACCACTGTACAGTCAAGCTGTACCATGCCCAGGTATGCGCCCGAAGGAATCAAAGGCAGCACAGCAGACATCTGCATACCCACACTCAGTGCAGCACAACAGGTTGTGGAACAGCCTACTCGTTCATAGTAGGGCATGGAATAGCCTACACGCCCATAAGTAGGTTGTACAACAGCCTACATGCCCATTGATAGGTTATGGTGCAACTTACTAACCCCTTGGTAGGTTGTGGAACATCCTACATGCCCATAAGCAGGGGGTGGGACAGTCCACAGGACCATAGAGAGGCTGTGAAGCATCCTAAACACCCATAGGTAAGTTATGGACCGTCCTACACGCCCACAGGTGAGTTATAGACCATCCTACACGCCCACAGGTAAGTTATAGATCATCCTACACGCCCATAGGTAAGTTATGGACCATCTACATGCCCACAGGTAAGTTATAGACCATCTACACGCCCATAGGTAAGTTATGGACCATCTACACGCCCATAGAGAGGCTGTGGACCATCCTACACACCCTCAGGTAAGTTATGGACCATCCTACATGCCCATAGGTAAGTTATAGACCGTCCTACACACCCATAGGGAGGCTGTGGAACAGCCCACATGTCCATAGGTAGGTGCTGAAACAGGTAGGTTATTTGGGAGTGGGTTGGTAGGGTAGGAAAGCTTGTTTTACAAAAAGTCACAGTGGAACCCACCTAGGATGAAATTGGTATACAGGGACTTTTTAGAATAAAACTGGATAAGTGAGAAAGAAGCTGGAGGTAACTGGGGAAATCATGCTGCAGGGAAAACAGGAGGCGTGGGCGAAGAAAATTAAGTGGACCAGAGTCACTCACTGGCTCTGTGATTGGTAGGCAGGCCATGCACGAGGGGTTTGGCCTCTGTTTTAGGGGACAAGTTTCTGGGTCCCCTGTGGATGGCTCCACTGGGACCACACACACACACACACACACACACACACACATACACACACATACACATAAACACACACGCGTACACACACTCATGCACACACACACACACACACACACACTCATGTTTGCCCCAGCTGTATAATAGATGGACCGAATGATGCCAGGCCTGTGTCTATATCTGTGAAGAATTGACCGCTGCTGGTTTTTCTCATTATATTATATTTATGTATTTAGTCACTTGGGGCTGAGGACAACTTGGGGGAGTTAGCTCTCTGCTTCCATTATGTAGGCCCAGGGGATTGAACTCGTGTCACCCAGCTTTGGAGGAGACACCGCTACTCAGCCCTGCCGCGTGTTTCATCTTTATTTATTTTATATATGTGGGCTTTGCATGTTTGTTTGTACACCATGTGAGCGCAGTGCCTGTGTAGACCCCAAGAGAGCATCAGATGCCCTGGCAATGAAGTTACAGATGGCTATGAGTGGTCGTGTTGGTGTGTGGAATTGAACCTGGATCCTCCGGAAGACCAGCCAGAGCCCTTAACCACTGAGCCACCTTTCCAGCCTCCGCTATATTATTATTACTTTTTTTGTTGTTTTGTTTGTTTGTTTTGTTTTTCAAGACAGGGTTTCCCTGTATTGTTTTGGAGGCTGTTCTGGAACTCCCTCTATAGACCATGCTGGCCTCGAACTCACAGAGATCCGCCTGCCTCTGCCTCCCGAGTGCTGGGATTAAAGGCATATGCCACCAACGCCTGGCTCCACTATATTATTTTTAACACGCTCTCCCAGGTTCCAAGAATGACAAAAGCTGGTGCGATTGTAGCAAAAAATATCAGAGACTCCTCCCGCATCATCTTCGACGAGAGCTTCAGCTGCCCTAGGGCCACTAAATGAAAGAATTCCTTTCACCTTTAGAAGGGACATCTTGTGGGAGGGGGAAGGACACCGTGGGAAAGGCTTCTCTCGCCACGCCTGGGAGGGGGCTGGGTCTCAGGCTGTTGGGCGCACACCACCTGCGTGCTGCCAGGCTGGGAGACTGACAGGCTCCAGCTAGTGCTGGAAAGTACCTGCTGCTTCCAGGAACATCTTAGTTTCCGTTTCCTAGAATAGGAGTGTGCCGATCCCAGCACCCCAACCACTGGTGATCAAGACGACGTCTAATTCTCAGCGGCGGATCTGTGCCAGGAGCACATTTCTCAACAGACTCGCTATTCACGGTCTGTGAACCTGGGCTCTGTGCCAGGCCAAACACACACGGCCTAATGAGATAATGTGGCTTTCCCTGGGAGCTCCTGGCCTGGCCCACAAGTGGGTGGGGACCTTAAAGGAGGCAAGAGCTGGCCTCCTGGAAAGGAAGTCCCCCAACTGAGCATCGGGGAGGCTTTTCCTGGAACCCCACCACCCGGTAAACTTCGGAAGGGAAACCAGGAGGGCAGCCAGGGAGCTCGCTGTGGGCCCCTGTGTGCCGGGCAAAGGCTCCAGGCCCAGAAGCAGTTTGTAGAGGTGGCGCCCTCCCTAGGGCCCTCCAGAAAGAAGACCTGCCTTCCTGAACATCTGGGAGAGGGGAACTCAACAGAAACCTCCCTGGAGACAAAGGCTCTAAGAGTGTGAATGACAGCCGTCTTTGGGGGGGAGGGAAAACACTGGATCTGGATCTCCAAAGGTCCAGTGGCTTCACTTGGTCTGACTTGGGTTGGAGATTCTGGGCAGGAGGTATAATATAACTGTACTCAGAATTCAGACTCCAGGTATCCACAACACCAGCTCCAACTGTGTGTGACCCTGGGTGGTGGTTGGTTTTCAATGCCCACTTGCAGGCTGGAGAGGGGGGTCGGGGTTTAGACACTCGTCGCTCTTGCAGAACAACCTGAGTAGGATTCCCACCCAGCACCCACATGCTGGCTCACAGCCACCTTTAACTCCAAGTCAGGGGATCCGACGCCCCCTTTCTGACCTCTCCACAGACACCAGGCACACCAGGAGACTGGGAGGCCATCCGGGAGCGCTGTGTCCATTAAACGTGGGCTTTTCCCAATTCGGTTTGATTTGGTCTAATTAGGATTGCTGTATCGGCGGAGAGGCTTATCGGGGTGTAGAAACTTTTCAGAAAGAAACTATCTTCAATGCCAACTTGCCACAACCTGGAGTCACTGGCGCGGTGCTCTAGATGATTGATGTCACCCACAGACCCAATGCTTGAATATTCGGTCCCCAGCTGATGATGCTTGGGGGGGAGGGAAATAAAATGACCCTGCTGGAGGAAGTGCCTCACTGAGGGCGGAAGTTGAAAGTCCCAGGCTTGCCCCACACCTGGTTTGCCCTCTGCTTCCTCTGTGGGTAGAAATGTGAGCTCTCCCTTTGCCGCTCACAGGCTCTCCCTCTGGAGTCCCAAGCCAGACCAACAATCCCTCCGGTAAGTTGTTTCTGGTTATGGTGTTTGGTCACAGCAACAGAAAAGTAACTAAAAGAGGAAGAGAGCCTCGGTACGGAATTATTCAGATCATGCCGCCCCCATGGGCATGTCTGTTGGGGATAGCCTTGATCGCCCATGTAGGAGGGCCCAGTCCACCGAGGATAGCCCCATTCCCCGGGCAGGTGGCCCTGGGCCACGTAAGAAAGCTGGCTGAGAATAAACCTGCCTGGCACCATCGCACAGTGGCCGCTCTGGTTCCCACTGCCCTTCTTCTCTGGCTGTGAAGTGAGTTCCTTGGTCAGAGGACCAACCTGCCTGAGATCACAATCCTCGTCTTCCCTCGAGGTGAACTGTGACCTGCAGTTGGAGGCCAATAAACCTTTCTCCTCCAGCTTTTTGGTCAGGGTGTTTGTCACAGCTGCCAAAATGGAGCTAATCACCTTGGGAAATTCCTCTTTGAACCTCGGCTTCCCCACTCCTAAGATGGTAACAATGAAGAAACCGGAAATAGTAAATACACAAAGCTTACAGAACTCAGAATAAGGACTAAGGATAACACTGAGATAATCTTTTAGTGCACTGTGTGAAGATGTGTCTCTGTCCTTCCTCACCTGCCTAAGGCACCTCCTGGTTGGTTTAATAAAGGGTAGAACAGCCAATAGCTAAGCAGGAGAGAATAGGCGGGACTTCTGGGCAGAGACAGGAACTCTGGGAAGAAAATCGAGGTAGAAGATTCGCCAGCCAGTTGTCGAGGGAGGCAGACTCACAGTATTGAGGAGAGGGAGTGAATCACACCGCAAAACATAGATTCATATAAACAGGTCAAGTTTTAAGAGCTACTTGGGAACAAGCCTAAACTAAGGCCAACCTTTCATAATTAATAAAAAGTTTCCAAATCATTATTCAGAAGCCAGCAGCCCAGAGAAAGACCTGCTACAACATGACAACCGTGTTGCACAGCCCCTGCTCACGAAGTCCACAAATGCAGCCCTCACTCACAATTATGTTGTTAACACTGTTAACGCGAGAGCTGAGTTTTGTCCAACCACCCTCTAGTTTCCCCCAAAAATATCAGGTACAGGGCCAGGCATGGTGGGTATAAGGACGGATGCAGGAAGGCAGCCTCAGGAATGTCCAGGTGGTATTGGTGAAGCAAACCGCAGGATGGACTGACTGCACTTTGTGAGACGTCTATATGAAACGTGTACTTCCTCGTATGTACGCGGGGTACGAGCTGATTTTCTGGTCGGTGCAACAAGATGCGAGACAAAAGCAGCTTGAGGAACGGTTTGGTCTGGCTCCCACTTAGGGTGCAGTCATCATGTCAGGGAAGGCGGGAGGGAGAGGCTGCTGGCCACATGGCATCCGCAGGAGGCAGAGAGAGATGGCATTGGTGTTCAGCTCTCTTTCCCCTTCCATGCAGCCTGGGCCCCCAGCCCAGGGGATGGCGCCACCCGCAGTTGGGCGGTTATTCCAACCTCGGTTAACCTCACCTAGAACTCTCCCACTGACATGCCCAGAAGATGTTTGTCCCTGAGTCTAGATGCGGTCAAAATGTCAATCAATACTACAACCATAGCATATATTAAGGGAAAACGTTTCTATACATATTTACTATAATCAGCAAAAAATAATAATAATGTTTCTAGAACCACAAAACACTCACTCCACCCAGCGACCACCCCATCCCCCAACTCTCACCCACTCAAGCCCACCAAAACATACAAGAGTCCGAAATGGTCCCAGTCTTTATCCCGACCCCAGCCTCCAGCACAGTCCCCGTGGGTCTGGTCCTGAGAGCACTCAGTGGGTGGCTCTGTGTGCGGAGGCCTCACTCCTCCAGCCGCTGCTGCTGTACCAGGTGAGCGTAGACATCCTGGTCCTCCCTGAGCTGGCTGTGCTCCACCAGCTGCCCCTGCTTGAGCACCAGCACCTGGTCAACGTTCTGAACCGTGTGCAGCCTGTGGGCAATCACCAGCACCGTCCTGTCCCCCTTCGATCGCCAGGCCTGCAGCTGCGGAGGACAGTCACGAGACTCAGAAAAGCAGGAATGCGACACCATGGCTGGGCCACCCCCTGTGCCTCGGGGTAGATGAGGCATGGCTGTGCAGGGGCTGACCCCTGTCGCCTGCCCTCCCTGGCTGTACTGCTGCCCCTGGGAAAAGCAGCTGTGGAGGACCAGACACCCCATGCCACTCTCCTTTCCATCCTTAGGATAGTTACTCTTCATCACCAGCTCAACTGAAGAAAGCCCAGGGCGTGGGCAAGGCACGCCTTTGTGTGTCTGTGAGGACTGACCCAGGAACCCAGAGAGGACAAAGATCCACCCCGAAAGTGGGCGGCGCCATCCCCGTGCCCCGGGTCCTGCACCACATGAAGAGGAGAGGAAGAGGGAACTAGCTGAGTGTTAGCATTCACACTCTCTGCCTCTTGATCCACCAAGATGTGACGAGTCCAAACCACTCACAACCACAGCCATGCTGCCGCCCCGCCATGATGGCTTGTGTGTTCTCTCAAAAGGACCTGCCCTTCCAAATTCCTTCCAAATTCCTTTGGTCCAGCAACAAAAAAAGTAATCATTGCAATCCATGGGATTCACGGCCGTGCACGGCGCAGACACTCTGCTCACCGGTGGGACTTCCGCCCACCCCTATCCAGTTCCACACCACCTTCACCATGTCCCTTAACTGCACTGTCCCCTGCCCTTCCCTCTGGTACTCACAGCCTGCTCACACTGGGAGTCCAGGGCACTGGTCGCCTCATCCAGGATCAGGACCCGTGGGTTCCGCACAAGGGCCCGGGCAATGGCCAGACGTTGTTTCTGTCCCACGGCTAACTGGCTCCCCTTCTCCCCTATTTCTGAGGAAACCAGAGCAAGTCCCTCTTGAGACACAACAGGTCAGAAAACATCCCTCCCAGCTGGGCAGGACAAGTTTTCTCCCCCCCCCACCCCATCTGCTTCCGTTAGCCAATCCAGAGGCAGCAGAGCCTGGCAAGGGGGGAGCTGGGGTGGAGAATAGTGAGAAGCGGGAACAGAGGAGCAACAGGATAAAAACATCACCGCCAAGGAAGTTCCCGTGTGCGTGTGTGTGTGAGCCTGGGTATGTGTGTGTGCGTGTGAGCCTGTGCGTGTGAGCCTGTGCGTGTGAGCCTGTGTGTGTGAGCCTGTGTATGTGTGTGTGTGTGTGAGCCTGTGTGTGTGAGCCTGTGTATGTGTGTGTGCGTGTGAGCCTGTGTGTGTGAGCCTGTGTGCATGTGTGTGAGCTGTGTGTGCATGTGAGCCTGTGTGTGTGTGTGCATGTGAGCCTGTGTGTGTGTGCATGTGAGCCTGTGTGTGTGTGTGCATGTGAGCCTGTGTGCGTGTGTGTGAGCCTGTGTGTGTGAGCCTGTGTGTGTGTGTGTGCGTGTGAGCCTGTGTGTGTGCATGTGAGCCTGTGTGTGTGCGTGTGAGCCTGTGTGCCTGAGTGTGTGTGCATGTGAGCCTGTGTGTGTGCATGTGAGCCTGTGTGTGTGAGCCTGTGTGCCTGAGTGTGTGTGCATGTGAGCCTGTATGCCTATGTGTATGCCTGTGTCTGTGCCTCTGTGTGTGCTGATGGGTGTGCATGTGTGTGGACTGTTTCTCAGGCAGTGTCTGTCTGTTTTTGGAACAAAGTCTCTCAGTGGCTTGGAATGAGACCCTGAGGAGCCTCCTCCTGACTCTGCATCCCCAGAGCTGGGATTATCACAGCCTGGCTTCCCCCCATTAAATGTATCCCAGAGATCAACTCAGGTCCCCATGCTTGCAACACAAGCACGTTATCCAAATGGCTCTTGCCCAGCTCCATTTTCTCCGTCTCCTGCCAGGGTGGACTCGGGACCAGAGGTACCTGTGTGTATCCCATCAGGCATTTCCCCTATGAAGTCGTCCGCACAGGCTGCCCGGACAGCGGCCATCACTTGGGCATCCTCACAGTCCTTCAGGCCATAGGCAATGTTGTCCTTGACAGACCCAGAGAAGAGCACGGGCTCCTGTCCCACCAGAACCACCTGCGCAGAGGGGACGCGAGCAGAGAGCTGGTACCTCCCTCCCTGTCCGGGATGGACCCGGCCTTCATTCCCCGGGGCTGCCTCCTCTTTCCTCCAGGCTCCCGCTCCTCTCTCCTGCCCCTCCCTCTCCCGAGCCCCTCCCACCTGGCGGTGCAGGTAGTGGTGATCATACTGGACCAGGGGCTGTCCGTCCAGCAGCAGCTGGCCCCCCGTGGGCTGGTACAGATTCTGCAGCAGGGCGGCCACGGTACTCTTCCCTGACCCGTTGGGTCCCACCAACGCCGTCACCTTGCCAGGATGCAGCGTGAACGTCAGGCCCTAAAAAAGCAGGGAAGAGGTTAAGGGCCGCTTCCTAGAGAAGAGGATGTTCGGGCTGCAGTCCCTGACCACGGGGTCTCCCGCGGGCACCTTGAGTACAGGCTTCTCCGGGCGACTCGGGTAGGAAAAGGTGACGTCTTGGAATTCCACGCGGCCCTCCAGCCTGGAAGGGGCCAGGGTCCCAGGCTGGGGCAGATTTGGCTTACGGTCTATGTAGCAGAAAACCTTCTCAGCGGCGCCCACGTTGCTCAGCATATCTCCATACATGTACACCAGGTTCTGGAAAACAGGGACGAACGGACAGGTCAGGGGGTCAAATCCCACCTTGGAAGCCAGGTCCCCAACTCAGCCCCTCACGCACTCTGGCCAACAACATGACCTCAGCCAGCCTCTCCCCTCTCCTTATCCCCCCAAAAAGAGCCTCTGCCTTTTAATGTATGATCTGGGTGAACCGGGTGGGGAGGGAATGTTGGAGGGGCTGCTTTTAGTTAGGAGGAGAGAGAGGGTGGCTTTGTCTTTGCTCTTTTGAAACAGCTTTGGCTACACAGCCCAGGCTGGCCTCCAATGGGACATCTCCCCTCGGGGTTGCAAAAACCACAGGATTACAGACTTGTGCCTCCTTGCCCAGAGTGATTTGGGTAGAATTTTAAATGTCCGATTTGCACTGAAAAGCTCTAAAGTCCGTACAGCCCCGCGGCTTCCGCTCACTGCTCCGCACCCTGTGTGCCTAGCGTTGCCTTGCCTGAGACAGGGAACCCCTTTAAAAGCCGTCACCGTGGAAGCTATCAGAGTGCCTGGCGCAGCTCTCCACACGTAAAGGGAAAATTATGGCCAGGGCCGAGAACAAGGTAACTTATCTTCTAAAGTGATCAGCTACAAAGAAATAGCTAGGCACCCTTCCTCGTCAAAGTACCTCTGGGTGAGCCAACAGTGGGTGAGATCAAGTCTCTCCTTCCCTGTATCCAAGTTGATGGGGGAAGGCAGGACAGAGCGGCACTATTTACAACCTGCTCACTTGACAAATGTAAGGCATTGTTTATCAGGGGCAGACGCCAGCACCAAGAGAACCAGATGCGCTGTGTCCCCCAGATAAAGAGCAGAGCCGTGGCTGGAGAGAGGGCTCAGAGGTTAAGAGCACCGGCTGCTCTTCCAGAGGTCCCGAGTTTAATCCTCAGCAACCCACATGGTGGCTCACAACCATCTGTAATGAGATCTGGTGCCCCCTTTCTGGCACGCAGGCAGAATATTGTAAACATAAATAAATAAACCTTAAAAAAAAAAACACAGTCATAACCATACAAAGGGAAATGCTGAATCTTTTTTTTAAAGATTTATTTATTATGAATACAACATCCTGCCTCCATGTATGCCTACATGCCAGAAGACGGCACCAGAACTTATTATGGATGGTTGTGAGCCACCATGTGGTTGCTGGGAATTGAACTCAGGACCTCTGGAAGAGCAGTCAGTGCTCTTAACCTCTGAGCCCTCTCTCCAGCCCGGGAAATGCTGAATCTTAAAAGTTCCATACTTATCTACCTAGGAAACAGAGACAGAGGTACACACTGGAATAATACTACAGGGGTCTGACCCACGGGAAACACTGCAGGACAAAAAAAAATCACATTTCTTCAACAAATAGCAAGGTGGGAATTTCAAAGCAGTAGACACAGAGAGGTTGAGAGGACATCAACGGATCACACCGTGTGGACCTGCGGGGATCTGAGCACTGAGTACACTGGATGAATTTAAGAAATTATTGCTAATTTTTCAGATGTGATAATGACTTTTTGAACTATTTATATTTCAGATATTTATATTCTAGAGATGCACATGGAAATACCTACAGATAAGACCGTGATATTTTTGAATTTGTTTCAAAATGGTAAGAGGGGAGTGAGGGCAGACCCAACACAGTGGGCTGTGAGGAGTAGGTTGGGGTTAAGTTAGAATAAGTCTAGGGATAGGGTTGGTTTGGGATGGCCCTCGGGGATACGGTTAGTCGTGGTGGGGTTAAGTTAGGGTCATGGCCATTTGGGGTTGTATGGATGGGTTAGGGTCACCATTCGTTTACAATGGAGTTAAGCTAGGGTAGGAGTTAGTTGTGGCTGGAGTTAGGCTTGGAGTTTGAGTTAACAATAGGGTTATGGTCATTGTTACTCATAATAATTATCTGAAAGTTTGCTATAATGTTAAAACATGTTTTAGACACATTTTTAGCATGCTTAAAACTACTCATAAGAATATTAAGTAGTTTGTTAGATTTTTTTTCTTTTTCTTTTTGGTTTTTCGAGACAGGGTTTCTCTGTATTATTTTGCAGGCTGTCCTGGAACTCGCTCTGTAGACCAGGCTGTCCTTGAACTCACAGAGATCCACCTGCCTCTGCCTCCCGAGTGCTGGGATTAAAGGCGTGCGCCATCACCGCCCGGCTAGAATATTAAGTAGTTTGTTAAACAAACACAGCTCACAGCCCAGAAGCACGGAGAGAAGCACTGAGATTGCACTGAAGGTGTCTCACTCACCCGGACATAGTCCCCCACTTCCTCCTGGTACAGCAGGAAGGAGAGCAGGCCTCCCCTGGTGACCTCCCCAGCCAGGATCTGCTGCACACCGCAGTTCAGGATTAGTACCTGCATGCCCAAGGCCATCACCTGGAGGGTAGGAGGGAGAGGAAGTGAGCCCCTCCCCCCCCCAGCCCAGTGCACTGCACTGGTCCGCAGAACGTCCGTTGGTCTGGCTCCTCATCCCCTCTCCCTCCACAGGCCACCTCACCCTCCGTATGGCTAAATACAAGGCTCTTTCCAGGTCCCGGCGCCACCACAGCTGTCGACATCGCTCCAGGGCCTCCTTATAGCGGCTGACCTCCTGCTCCTCGGCCCCAAAGCTGCGCACAGTCTGCAGCCCTCCAACCGCCTCGCGCACCACCTGCCCTGCCTTAGCCGTGGCATCCTGAATCTCTGTTAACACTGCCTGGAAAGGAGAGCGGATAACCTGGTTAACACGTGTCAGAGCGGATAACCTGGTTAACACGTGTCAGAGCGGATAACCTGGTTAACACGTGTCAGAGCGCCAGCAGACCGTGGGCTTCATTCCAGGGCTACATCCCTGCTCCTTGCCT